GAAAGAAAGAAAGAAAGAAAGAAAGAAAGAAAGAAAGAAAGAAAGAGGTGGGAGGGAGGAATGGAGGGAGAGAAAAGTGATCTTTCTCAGGCAGCTTTCCAAAGCCCCAAGAAACACAAGCCAGATTTGTGGTTTGTGGGCTGCTGCAGAGCCCAGCCTCAGAAACCCTGAGGTCAGGCGACTAGAGCTGCCCTTGAGGTTTCTCCACAGTCTGCATGACCAATGAGGGCCAGCCTTGGGTTTCTCTTGTGGTGCGGAAGACCCGTCTACAGGTCTCTCAGGACCCCTCTCTGAACTATGAGTACTTGCCCATGGTGGGCATGAAGTCATTCATCCAGGCCTCCTTGGAACTCCTCCTTGGAAAGCACAACCAAGCTATTGTGGAGAAAAGGGTGAGACACCGAGTAAAGATGCAGGGATTAAACCTTAAACCTACAAGGGACCGTGCTGAGGCCTCCACGTAGACAAAGATAACTCCTCAGACTCTGAAAGTCCACAGCCCTTGGACTGAGGGGCAGAGTTGGGATCCAAACCTAAATTCTCATTCAGTCACTGCCATTGCTGGTTTGAACGCTCTCTCCAGGAAGAGGGCTGGGGTGCAGCTCATTGGTAGAGGGCACGCTAACATGTGTAAGGCCTTCCATCCAATGCCCAGCACCAAAAATAAGACAAAAATCTGAGTCTGAGGTGGTGTTAATATTATAATTACTCCTTTAAGTGTGACTTCTTATTGTTTGCTGACAGGTGGGGGTGTGCACACCGTAGGTGACAGTGGGGCCTTCAAGCTTGGGGCCCAGTTCCTCAGGACTTGGCATAGGAATTCACAGGTCGTTTGTATAGTCTCCTGTCAAAAAGGTGAGTGTTACCCAGGACAAGGGCCTGAAGAGCCTGCTCCCTGTTCCCAATCCTCACTCCATTTGTGATTCCTCCCTTACCCCATCTCCCATATCTCTGTCTCCACATCTCCATTTCCGTATATTCCAGCTGGTGGGGTGGGGGTCTGTGTTCCTGCAGAACTGTATGGCCTCGTTTTCCAGGACATGGGCTTTATAGTTTCTGGCGGGGTGGGGGTCTGTGTTCCCGCAGAACTGTATGGCCTCGTCTTCCAGGACATGGGCTTTATAGTTTATGAATACTCCATCTGGAGCCCCCAGGAGCTGTGCTCAGACCCTGGCAGGTTCTTCGAAGTGATAGAGGTAGAGGGGCCCCTCTCAGAACTGCTCCCACATATGATTTGCAGTCTCATTTTCCCTTCTCTCAGGCTGGGCTTGGATTTTCCAGGCCTGTTAGTGAGAACAAACCTAAGGGATGGCCCCCCTTGGTATGCCCACTGCCACCTCACGTGGTGAGGCAGGTGGCACCTGATGAGACCGTCTCTTCCCGCAGCATATCCCAGCTGACAGCATCCTTGTGATTGGGAACATTGTTGACTGCAGGCTGACACAGAGTCAGTGGGCAAAGCTGATGTCGACCATTAAGGTGAACAAGCTCCTTGTCCCACTTCCCTCCTCAAGCATCTGTTCTTGCCGCCATCAGTCATATGGGGTTTTGCTTCTCCTTTCTCTTGCAGAGCAAGCGCATATTCCCATTTTTTGATGTTCCCTGTCAAGGCTTAGCCACTGGTGACCTGGAAGAAGACGTTAGACTCTTACGATACTTTGTGTCTCTAGGCTTTGAGTTCTTCTGCAGCCAGTCTCTGTCCAAGAACTTTGGCATTTATGGTGTGGTGTGGCGGAGGGAGCAGGGAAACGGGGAGCTGAGTTGGTGCCACCTCTGTAACACAAGGACTTCATTTTGTTTTTTCAGTTAGCATACACCATAACGGGTAAAACAAAGGACATCTTTACACATGCACACACATGGTACTTCCCTCTAAGTCCCTCTGACCCTCCTCCAGAGGAGAGATGTTTTTGGTACTCCTTATCCCCTGGAGGGAGCCCAGTCAGTACTCCAGAGAAAGCACAGCAGAGGCAGAAGGAACAGCACTGAGCTAAAAGTTGGGTTCTGTTTCCAAACCCAGCTTTCCAAGCTACCCACACCCACTCTAGCTAACATTCCATCTCTTGGGCCTCTGCTTCCGCAGAGATTAGCAAGTGGGACTTGACCATCTTTCAGGTCCCTTCCTTCTGGAACACTCTTGCTTATGAGTATTTTCTTCTAGAAGAAAAGGCTCTGACAATTTCCTGGGGTCAGATACCACCCTGACTGGGCTGAACTGGGCTGGCCACTCCACAGTTCAATCCTCTCTCCTGCAAGGTTGGAGGGAGAGGTATAGGTAAAGATGGGACATGAGGGAGGAGACTGAAGGCGGGCTGTCTTCCCACCGCTGCAGATGAAGGAGTGGGGATCCTGGTCGTGGTTACACTCAGCAACCAGCACCTGCTGTGTGTCCTCTCCCAGTTGATGAGCTACACCCAGGCCCTGTGGCTAAACCCTCCTGCCACAGGGGCTCGCATCATCGCCTCCATCCTCTGTAACCCTGCTCTGCTTGGAGAATGGTAAGAAGAGAAGGATCTGGGCAGGGGAGGGGCCAGAGCCCCAGGCTACCCACAGGCTTGCTGCTCACAGGACCCGTTCGTCTGTGTGCTTCTTTCCCACCCATGTAGTCTCTTTATCCAGTTCACTCCGCAGAGCATCCCTCAGTGTTCCTGAGAGCCTGCTTCACGTTAGGGTTAGTGACTGTAGCTACTCCCAGGGTGGCCCTACCTTGGGGAGAGTGAGCAGTGGCACATTCATTTTAAGTCTGCAAGAGATTAAAAAACAACAGAATAAAACCTTTATTTTGTAAATTAACTTTTTAAAACTTCATTTGAAAAAAAA